TTCCCTCTCTTCCAAGTTTAGATTTTGGGTTAGTGCTAAAAAATGTTGACTTCTGGACAAATGTCAAATCTTAAGGTGTATCCTGTACCCTGTCAGTGGGCTGTACTTTCAGGCTGGGATAAGAGAATTAGGCCAAGTAAGAAGTTAAAGTAAATAGGTGTTTTTAAGAACCACAGAAGAAAATGGACAGCACACCCCTTGTATGAGCACAAAGTCCATTTCTCAGGTGGGATCTGAATCTGGGGACCAGGGCAGCAGCCAGGTTCTCAGAGTGCTTTCTGGAGGGTCCTGTACACAGGCATTCCTTCTCCCAGGTGGTACATTCCCCGAAGTGACTCCTGCCCCATGATATGCTAAAGTTCGGATAGCTCTAGGGAATGAAATCACATCCAGTTTTGGGTGTTTCTTGCCCTGTTATTACTTTCTGTGGTTTTGTAAAAAAACAAAAAACAAAAAAAGTACTGACTTACATTTCCTCCTTGTGAATTTAGTCAAGTTTACAAATTTTTCTTGTTATTATTGTTGTTGCTTTAGATGAGATGGACCACTCAGGTTCTGAAAGTCATGACAGGTGTCATGGCTTGTTGTCTTTTGCCATCAGTCACCAGAATCCAGCACAAAGCATGGCACATAATAAGCTTTTAACACTATTTGTTGAAATAATAAAATCTTCAAATGACAATAAACTTCATTCACTAGGTAATAAATCAGATTTGCATTTTTAATCCAGCAGGGAATGATTACCCATTACTTAAGACCCAACACAATTCTTTTGATCTCTCTCTGTTAATTTTCTAGGAAATGGCTTTTTATAGCCTGCACCTTGTCTATTGAATTCTCAACCAGTTTTTGCCCTTATCATCGTGGTGATAATGCCACAGTAGAGTCCTTTTTGCTGGTGACGATTGAAATGAGACAATAACTTCCCAGAAACTGCCTAGACATAATCATCACCATGTTACCCTTTGAAAAGAAGATTGATAGAAAAGTCATTTGAAAGATGGTTAATTACCATGCTCTCCTTCGATTTCTTTACTCACATCTCTCCAAAGCATGAGAAAGGGAGGATTATTCTCTGAGGTTGGAATTTGAAGGCTGTGTGTTTGCCTCTTTGAAGTTTTGGTATTTAATTTTCTGTAGTCACTTCTTGGGCAATTTTCTAAGAAACTAGTTGAAGCTAATTTATCATAAGTTAAAGTCAAATGACAGAAAAGATTTTTTTTCCTTAACAGTACTTTATTCCATAGAGGTTAGCTTCTGAAGGAAAATGAGACTTAAATAGCATTTCAAATATCCAGCCACATGGGTAGGTACATAGACTAGAAGGAATTCTGAAAACCACACTGATTTTTTAAAAGTTAGCACAGTTATTAATTTTGACTCTTTTTTTAGACCATGATGCACAGATAAAATATATTTTTGTGAAGCTCGCTCCTAAAAGTAATTAGTTAAATTGCTTAATTTTCAAAGAGGGATTTTTGGTCCTCAAGGGATAACAAATGCCATCTCTATCCTTGGCAGATGTTGGTATAATGTTATATAATTCATCTAACCTTTCTCTTACCCCCTAACTCTGAAATGGAGATGAGACACTTACCTTTTCAAACAAAAGTGAAAAATAATAAGAGAGCATTTACAAAGTCCTTTGAGAATCTCAATTTAGAGGCTTCTTGTGAGCATGGGATCCAGTTCAATAAATAATAAGGGCTTTCATTTTTGATACTATGTGATCATTATTTAATGTTTACAGAGGATGCTCAGTGGACCTGTTTCAGTATAAACACAAAAGTAGTTTCTGCTATTTCTTCCTTTCTGAGGGGAATAAGCTTGTTTTTCCCTTTCTGTTTTGAAGCTAATTAAATAATTCAAAATCAGGAAGTTCACCATTCACAGTGTCTCTATTTATTTATTTATTTGGATGGATTTAGGTTTTCTCAGCTAATTTCTTTTGCCGTCGTCTGCCCAAAGGAAGTCTTTTGGACGAAATAAAGCCCAAAGTTTGTGCCATCATTGGTGGCATTTTGGGATATGAAAAGAGAGCAGGTTTAAAATCTTGGTGCCTGTAAAGCTTGATGTTTTACAAAAATGTGAATGGAGAGACATTTTGTCCGTATGGGGCTGACAAAATAATTAGTAATAAGGAAATGTTGGCCTATAGGTTGTCAGCGTCTTTCAGCAACCAACTTCCTTTAGAATACTTATCTTCTAGTGATTGTTTTTCATTGTGAACCTATAGAAATTTTATTTTCTGAATTAGTCACAAAGTCTTTGCAGGTATTATGGTAGGTTAATGACTGTCCAAATGTGTCCCTAACAATTGCCTTCATTGGAGGGGTTTGGGGGAATCAGTCATCGTGGCATCATGTGGTTGCACTTTGGCTCCTAATGAATCTTCTTCCGTTTCCTATTGGTCACCAACTAAGAGGTCACAGAGCCTTGGGATGCTTTGGTAACCAAAATAAACCCTTAGTGTGTGTTATAGACTGATTCGTGTTCTTCCGTTATTGATGTGTTAAAATCCTAACTCCCAGTACCTCAGAATGTGACCATATCTGGAGATACGGTCTTTCAAGATGATTAAGGTTAAACGAGGTCACTAGGGTGGGCCCCGATCCAATATGACTGGTCTCCTTAAAAGAAGAGGCAAGTAGGATACACACAGGTACAGAGAGGATAACGTGAAGACACAGAAAGAAGGTGACTGTCTGTAAGCCAAAGTGAAAGGCCTCAGAAGAAACCAGACATGCCAACACCGGGATCTTGAACTCCCAGCCTCCAGAACTGTGAGGAAATACATTTGTCTTGTTTAAGTCACCCTAGCTAGCCTGTGTTACTGTATGTAAGCCCTAGTAAACTCACAGTAAGTGTTGCCTCGTTTTGGAATTCCCTATTTCCCTCGGAAATCTTGTAGGTAGGGACTTGGGGAGCAGAGGTGCTGGTGACAACAATGGAGAGAAGGAGGAGAGATGTGCGGCCATCTGCTGTGGATGATGACAGGGAGCCTGGGACGATGGCAGGACTGTGGGTTATTTTCTTGCGGGAGTAGAGAGTGGTGTGCTCTGGAAGATCAATGCATGCTGCAGGTGAAAGGAAGTATGGGCTGGGCTTCATGCGAGGGGAGGTTTGTCTACTGCTAAAGGACTTCCGGGACCTCTTAAGGGACAGGGCAGGAAGAGAGGTGCAGAGGTTATTGGAGGCATAGTCCTTGGTTTTGTACAGCTGTTCAGTGTATATACTGTTCAAGAAATATTTAATGAGCCTTACCATGTGTTACACCCTGACACTAAGGTTAGGCTTATTAGATAAACTTCAAGGATCTCCAAGACAAATACGGAGTTTAAAATATGTTGATCCATCATTGCCCAGCAACAATAATGATTATAATGATAACTTTTATATTATTACTAGAGGCCCGGTGCATGAATTTGTGCACAGGTAGGGTCTGGGCGGCCCACCCCGATCAGGCCAATGGGGCCAGCCAGGGAGAGGGGACGCTGGAGGTTGGCCGGCTGGCCCCACCCCTGATCAGGGTTTGGGGGTTGGTTGGCGCCCCCTGGTTGAACTCCTGGTCGAACTCCCAGTCAAGGGGACAATTTGATATTAGCCTTTTATTATATAGGATTACAGGCAACTTATACTGAGCACTCATTATGTTCTAGAGATAAATAGGTGATATATATAATTTCACTTATCTGAAAACCAACCTGATGGGCTAGGTCTATTATGTCCATTGCAAAGATTTGAAAATGCCACCTATAAGTTAAGTGACTTAGGTCAGCTGCCTAAGGAGGAGCTGGGATCAAATCAATGATGCACAGCCTAGGCAATACTACCCAGCACACTTAGAATTACTAGAGCATGAATCCCTACGATGCTTTGAAATGCAGATTTGAAAGTCAGGACCTAACCTAGGCCAGAGGAAGAGAAAATCTTAACTGGCATCTGAGGAATGTTACCTCGTGTCAATGTCAAGGAAATCTTTCCTGCACAGTTTCTCCTCCCTGGAGACCTTGGAAGCTGGATTATAATCAGAGAGTTGCTTGAAGTGCATGGAATCAGAACAGAGAGATTTAGATAAATCAAATATTTAATGGTGTCAGGCTGTTTCATCCCATCTTCTCCAGTGGGAGTGGAATAACCAAAGTGCAATATTCCAGACTGATTCTAAAGGATGCATCAGGATTTCAAGTGACTTTAGGCCAGCCTTGAACAGTATGGACCATATTGAGAAAATATGTTTCTCTTCCATCCTCCCTCCCTTGTCCTTCCTTCCTTAATTCCTTTCTTTCTTCCTTAATTCCTTCCTTCCTTCCTCCGTCCTTCCCTCCCTTCCTTCCTTCCAAATAGATATGCTTCATCTAAAGTTAATATAGTTAGTGTCAGAGGAGGGACTAGAACTCAGGCCTTCTAAGTGATTATCACTTATCTTAATAATGACTTAATTTTTGTGTTAGGACAAATACTGTCTTCTTATTGTATTAAAATCCTCTGTCTTCT